TTTTGATTTACGACGAACGTGTTTCACGTATGAAACTTTCAAAATTGTTTTTGGCAAATGTTCTCTAGTAAGTAAATCATTTTCTCAAAATTAATATCTTAACCTTCATAGAAAATTAATATAATAACGATTGTTTATTATAATATAAATATTTGATATATGAAAATAGAAAAAAAAATAATATTTATCTTGTTTTATTTTCCGATTTGTTTTTCATTCTTTGGTTAACTCGTCACGCGTTATTAAATCCACGCAGGTCGTGGTTAACATTCGTAAGTACACGAAGTTGGTGGGGATGAGAGGGAAATAGTGGGGACAAGATAAAGTGCCGAAAAAACATTTACAAGACTGTAAATATGTCCAAGTGCGGTTTCCTGCATGACCATTTTGGTCGAAGCTTTAACAATTTAAGCCGCCGTTTTGTTTTTTCCTTTTTTTTCCTGTTTTTTTTCTTTTTTTTTTTACATCGTTCCGCGGTTTAGTGATTTATTAACTTAACACGCTAAATCACAAATTTTTATCATTTTTCTTTGGTGAAGATAGAATTCTAAAGATGACCGTGAACAAATCTTAATGCGTCCATTTACCTTGATTCAAAATAAAAAAACAAAACGAAGAAGAGGAAGAGGAAGAGGAAGAAGAAGAAGAAGAGAAAACAACGATGAAATTACATTATAACGTTTTGGAAGTTGCAAATAATAAGTAACGTTTTAAACGCGTGAATATACGTTTAGGATGATCATAAATAATGCGTTATTATCTTTAGGATGAAATGGGTTATTAAATGTCGTAACTTGAAAAATGATGGTTTTATGATCTCTCTTCTCTCTTCTCTCTCTCTCAAGTGAAATTTGTATCGATACTAAAGACCCCCACCCTTCTTCTTCTTCTTCTTCTTCATCTTCATCCTTCTCAATTGCTTCCGTGAAATAATATCGCGTGGAATTGGCAAAACGTAACTAATAAATTATTCACTATAATCGATCGTTACATTATGGCATTTAATTCCGCAAGATAGATATCGTTGTAATAAAAAGTACACGTCGTCATTTGTGTGCTTTGATTTTCTCTTTTCTTTTATTATTTTTTTTTTTCTCTTTCAAACCAAAGGGTAATAAAAGTATACCCTAGTATGATCTTACAATGAAATAAAAACATATATATATATATATGTGTGTAATAGGAAAGTATCGAACGTAAGAAGTTAAATGCAAAGCATTGTAATAAAAGTAAAATAAAATTCGTACGACTTAAATGTCCTCCTTTGGGACTTGGTTGGTAACTCAATCCGCTTAAATCTATTCCGAACTTACGATTGGTCGAGAGATCATTTTATGCGAACGGGTGCGGAGTTATCTATTCGCGAGTAGGCCGTAACGATGACTTTTGCATAGTTGATAGGTAAACCTCCTCCTACCACCCCCTTTTACCATTTCCATGTAGACGATTTCTCTCTAATCATCGTAGAAATTTTATTTCCTCAGTTCATAGGAATAAATAACATCAAAATAAACAAAGAGAAAATATTCGTTAAATGTATTGACATTTCGAAATGTTATATATATATATATATGAATATTTGTTTTTCTTTTTTAAAATAATAAAAAATAAAAATAAATATACTGTGAAAGATTCATTTTCATTTACAGTCTATGTATGAAAAAAAAAAATCATGGATAGAAAATAATCATTGAACTATAATAATCGAGCTGATTTTATCAGAACAATTAAATGTAAGAACCTATTATACAAGTCCCATTGTCTTGTTGTAATCATTATCATTTGGCACGTCAGTATGTAGGCATCCGCTACCTAGATTTCTTGCGGCGCCTTATGGCGCCGCATATATCGCTATAATGAAGGTAATTCATTCGCTTTTATTCACCGTGTCATTTTCGTAGGAGTAAGACATTTAACGTGTTCTTGTTGGGTACCTTCCAAAGAAGCAAGTTACAACTTTCAACGTAGGCGGATTTCTTGCATGTCAACCCTTTCTTCGATCTTTTCATTTAATTTTTTTTTTATTTCATTCCTTCATTCATTTTTTTTTTTTCTATACCCCTTTTTACTCATTGATGTCAGCAAAACATTTGAAATTTTCTTATTTGATCAAATTCTTACGTTAACCAGGTGGGACGTATAAATACGTCAAACGAGTCGCTTTAAAGATAAAAGTACAAACTTTTGTACTTTTGTATATAAATGAAAGTAACATTTGGAAATTGTTCTGTCTGATCAAATTAATATGTTATTAATTAATTAATTTGTTTTTGTCTATATTATTAAAACACGTTGTATTATAGTAATTAATATTTTTATATAATAATATATTAATTAATTAATTATTTATTTATTTATTATACTAGAAAAGAATAATTTACATCGTAATAACAAGGTTAATACATAGTAAATCCTACAAGAGGTAAACATAATTACCTGTACGTAGGCTGGTACATACTAAAATTACTAATACTAAAAACTAAGAAATATAAGTAAATTGAAATTACATTATATAAACTTATATATATATATATATAATAATATATTTAATATAAATTTGTATATATAGTAGTTAATATAGTAATAGTTAATATTCGTTTGACAATATTAAATAACCAATTGTAAACAATTACGATCACTTACGTTGTTACACAATTGAATTTCATTCAATTAACTTTTACAGTCACGTATCATATCCAACATTCCTATGTACAGTATTCTACCTTAATTTACATAAACGTCATTTTTAATACTTTTAACTTGTTTATTCGCCCGTATTTTTATTTTTTTTATTTTTTTCAACGAATACATTTACGTTTAAAAAATGAAATTTTTCTATTTCAAATAAAAATGATCAATTCAATACCACGTGTTTATACCTTTCTCGAAAATGTCACCTATGTACATATATTATAATTAGGTATCATAAAATTATGAACCATGAACTACTTACGTATTCTATGATTGAGAGGAAGGGGAAAGGGGAAGAGAAGGAATTAAGAAAAATTCAAACAAATTTATCGAATGAAAAAAAAATAAAATGATTCAATCTTATTGGACGTGTATATTCGTAATCAGAGATGTGAGAATGTCGGTTTAGCAAAATTAAAAACAGTACACCTATAAAGAAACGAGAATTTCAGGTTTTTCGTTGAACCAATAAAAAAAAATTAATATATACATATATATAAAATAAAAATAAAAAAAATGGGGGTGGAGGGAATGGGGAAAGAAAATAAAAAAAAATAAAAATGGGAAAAAAAAAAACATCAAGAATTGCTTAATACATAATAAATATGGTGCATCGTCCTTTGTCGGTGCCGGTTTAATTGGTGTCTGGTTTTGGAACCAGTCTCTTCTTCACTTTTTACCAATACCACCACCACCACCACCAACCAGGTAGCACAGTTTTAACTTTACGACAAGAGAAAGAGAGAGAGAGAGAGAGAGAGAGAGATAGAGAGGTGACCATTCACAAACGATGCCATGAATGGAACTTCGTTACCACCACCACCACCACTACCAACACCATCATGACCTTAAACGTTTATTCATCTCCTTTTTTTTTTCTTTTAATTTCTTTTCGAGTTATAAACGATTAATGCTAATAAATACGTTCTTCAAATGTTCACGCGAATCCGGTTTTTTTATTTTTATTTTTAAGACCACTGTTTTTTTTATTTTTTTTTTTTTTATTTAAGTTCGATCGAACTTCGATTATTTCAAAGAAGAAATCATCTCTTTTTTAGATCTATTTTTAAAAATAAAAATAAGATAGTTATCTGACGAGATAAAACTTGTCGATGTTAATCCGACGAAATGATTTAGAATTTTATTTTTCTTATCTACTTGTTGTGTCTCTTGTGTGTATGTTAAAATATCTAAATGAAAAAAAAAGAAAAGAAAAAACAAAAAATAAATTCAATTGTAATATTAGGAATATTAAAAAAAAAAAAAGAATATTTTTGATATTAGAAAAACAAAGACAAATATGTTATAATATAAGTTTGTTAAAAAAAGAAAAAATATATAATTAACTTATACGAATTAAATTGAATGAA